CCTCAGATGTGGGGGCGGCCTCCTGCCACTTCCTCAGCCCTCACAGGCCTCTGCCTGTGGCGCCCCCCCCCATCCGCACAGCCGGGACAGGCCGGTTCCCTCGCACCCACCCGTGACAGAGCGGCCTCCCCCAGGGCCCAAGGAGCAGCGAGCAGGGCGGCTCCGTGCAGCCCCACCTCATAGCCTTGTTCTCGTGTGCCCTGCGGTTCCTCCAAGTTTTCATCCGCCCGTGTGCGCTCTTTTCCCCCAGGCAGTCTCACTCGGCTGGAGGCGACCCGCAGGTCTGGGGGTCTCCTGAGCCCCCCGGTGTCACCCCTTCACACGCCTTCGCCTAGCCTCCGCTCCCTGTCGTGTGCTCAGTGCGGGCTTGTTTGTGTCTTCTCCATCCTCTGTGAAACGGTGGTTTTCTCCCCTGAATGACTTGACTCCTCACAGGGCCATCATCACTGAGTATTATCTGTCCTCATCCTCCCTTTTTACCTTCCTTTTTACCGTGATTGTATCTGTTCCTTTTTGGTAGTGCTGTGTCTCATCTCTGGAAAAAGATTACTTAGAGACAAAAAGTTTGGCTGGTGGTGGAAGGGAGTAGGATGATTTTCCTTTGAAGCAAGAGCCAAAATAGAGTAGGTTATGACTGGACTTTGCATGTGTGGGCTTGCATGTCTGTGTATTCATGTGTGCTATGGCTGAATGTGGTCCAGTTGGTATATGGAGTCACAACTTGAAGAGAAGTCCACAAGTGCAGAACACCTAAAAAGCATCTCTGGACAAATTGGAAGGCTGTTGGGTATTTTTGTATGCGTTTTGTGACTTCATAGCTTTTCGTTTAAAAAAAATATTTTGGGGAAAGATGAACTTTCCTTTACCGATTCTTGTATTGTATTGTGTATTCTTGTAGCAGTTGAGTGCTCAAATACACTCAGACTATGCACGTTAAAAATTCTAATGCTTTTGTTTGAATTATTTTATGCTGATCACAGAGGTGGAGTTTGGAATTGTAGTGGCTTAATTTCCTTTATTTGTTGAACTAAGGGAGCTTTAATGTCACTAGTGCCCAGGGCCAGCAGTGTGTGTATCCCATCTCCTTAAGATAGCTGATGAAAGCAACTGTTATAGCCATGGTGGTTCTCATACGAATACTGTTTAACCAAAGTTGGACTGATGGTTTTAATCTCATATAGGATTCTCAACGGGGTAATCATTTGCTTGTAGAACTGATCTTAGCATAGCTTGAATTGGGCATAACTCAAGATTAGAAAAGGTGTGCAGGATGTTACACTGAAGTTGTGATTAGTAGTGCTTATGGGACTCTAAGAAAACAAATGCTGTATTCTTCCAGAAGGACATAGGTCACTGGTAGAAGCTGCTCATCTGCACGTCAAGGAAATGACTGAAACTGATACAGTAGTTTGATTTACATGTATGGTCCAGTTGTCAGTCTTCAGCTGGGTAAGGAGTTTTGTTTACAACAACTAGTGTATAATCAGGTAGGATTCTTGGTCATAACTCAGTACCTTCACTTCCAATATCTGTTATGATTAGAAATCTCTCCTTCAGTAAAGGAAGGAACTTATTCATTCCTAGAAAATGTTATTGGTGAAAAGCAGTTACAATTCCGTGCCTTTCGTTAATGGACATTAATTTAGACACACGAGTCTGTAGCAAACTGGTAACTTTAAATTAATAAATAGTCTGGATTTATTATGTTCTGCTGACTTCTGAGACAATTGAAAAGATGTAGCATTGCTGCTGTTATCTAAATCTAGACAACATAATGACTGCAATTTTGGTTATACCTGAAAAACAAGCTAAATAAAGTCTGGTTCCAGATACAAGTTAATTTTTAATTTGTCTTCATGCTTTTGTTTTCTGGGTTTGAAATTGTCAGTTAAAGCTTGACATTTAGTTCTTTCTGGTTTTATTTTTAGGAAAGAGCTGAAAATCTGCTCTCGCATTTAGCTCTTTATAAATTTTCTTGCTGTAGGTTTCAGATGTCTCATATATTAGTTTATTATTTTAAAATGCCCTAACTGGCTCTTCTTCTCCAATATCTCTTCCAACTGATAAATTCTTCCAGTACTTTTATATGGGAAAGCTTAACAAACTTTCATTGCCTTTTGTCATTCTGAATTAAAAGCTAGATGAAAGCATTTTAGTCATCTGAAGATAAGAAGTCCTCTAAGAAATTGTGCATTTTTCTTATGATTTGTGGATTCTTCTTTTAGCACGCTTCACAGAATAGATGTAGGACATTAATAATGGTTAGTAGAGAGAGGTTTCTTTTTTTTTTTTTTTTTTTTCTTGTGGTGGCAACAAAATTATCTGAAAGGTCCATGGAAAATGGATGAAAAAAAGCATTATGTATAGCTTAAGATCTTGTTATTGCTGGTCCGAAAACACACTAAAACTTCATACAGAAAATAGTCAAAGATTTGCTTCTAACATATCTTATGGTGTGGATGTTCTGGGTACTTTATGTATTAACTGGAACAAGTATGTTTAGATAAGTTATTGGATAATATGTAATAACTAACTCTTTCTGCAAAAGAATGCATGGCATACACCTTGATAATGTTTTGGTTTTTTCTTTTTTTGTCTCCTAGAAATGGGTCTGCTTTCAGAAGATGCAATGCACTAGATGTGGTGCTTGGAACAGGATTAGTCATGGCATCAGAACTATGTAAAACAATCTCTGAGGCAAAGCTGGAAAGGCACAAGAACTTGTTCTTAAATTACCGAAACCTCCATCACTTTCCTTTGGAGTTACTGAAAGATGAGGGGCTGCAGTACTTGGAGAGACTTTATATGAAAAGAAATTCCCTGACCACATTGGTACGACAACCTCTTTATTGTAATGTTTACTGTCTGTATGTTCAGGAATTCTGATTTTTGGAACAGAAAAAGCAAGATAATTTAAAAGAATAATAATCTTATAGCAAATCTGATCCTGAATGATGTCATCCATTGTGAAATATGAGTATTTGGTTGTATTATGTTTCAACTTGCATAGGTAATGTAGAGTATAATAAATGAAAGTTTATGACATTTTATGGTTACCATTTTGAAGCTCTGCTGGGGGTTTTCTTGTGAGGTTTGTTGTTTGGGGTTTTTTTTAACTGCTATAAATTTTGCTCATGTCAGTGGTCAGGCCTTTCTACTGTTAGGTGATACTATGCAGTCTAGTCTACATTACTTCATTAGGCTAAGCAACTCTTACCTTGGTATGTGCCTTATTTTAAAGGCATTGTCAATCCCAGGGTCTAATTCAAAGCTTGCTGTTAAGGTATCAGCAAAAACTTGCGTCTACGGGCTGCTGTTGATAGGAGAACAAACAGTTAATTTCAGGGTTGTGGGATTTTCTGTTGTGGTTTCTTCTTGTTTTGTTGTTTTTCCCTGAACTGAACAAATTCTTACCCTGAATGAATGTTGTGACCTCAGAATTCAGTGTGGGGTAGTTAAATAACTCTGTGACATATTGTGAGTTGGTAAGACTCTACAGAGCATCAAAACTTGCCACTGTCAGTAGGCTCAAGTCTCCCAGTAATTAAGGTTCGTGTTTTTTGTTTGTTTGTTTGTTTGTTTTTTTTTTCTTGGGGTCTTCCATGATATGATAGGTAAAATAATAGCCAGGGCAGAGGAGCTTGTGGGCCTGACTACTTAAAACTCACCAAAATTACATGTTTTTCAGTGCTCCCTAGAAAAAGTCCAGTACTCCAATTTAAGGAATAGTGTTTAAAGCTTTAACAATGATATATCAGAATTCCTTAATAAAAGCTTCACTTCTTGGGCCAAAAGCTGAAAGGATTCTGAAGATTTTACACTTTTTCTTCATCTTGAATGAGTCACTTAAGTTTGCATGTACTGTAGAGAATTATTTTGGCACTTTTTGGTTTTAGGCAAGTCCTTTGCTTAATAATGTAATGGGAGGATAGGATTCATGGTTACAAATTAAAGCTGCTTTGAAAATTAACCAAATACTATAAACAGTTCTGCTTCGACACTTTATGAAAATCAGTGCTTATTTAGTGGTGTGAGGTTCATGAAGTTTGTACTGCTCAAAAGATGAAACAATAATAAGGAGAGTTTTGCATATCGCTTTTCTGCATGTATGTGTTAGAGCCTGGTTTTGTTTTTCTCAAAGCAATTATAAAAGAGAAACCAAAACAAAGCCTCACAAGTAAGTTTAGTTCCATTTTCCTCTCAATATCTGTTAACACTACCAGCTAATAGATGTGTAATGTGGCGTAAGAGTAATTACCCATGGTTACTGTCAACAGAAGATGTATCAAATGAGGGAGACAGCTCTTGCCCAACACTGTTTGGTATTGTAATTGAGGCCTGGGATAAAGGAACTGAAATAATATGTAAAACGTAGATCATACCTAGGCAAAATGACTTGCAAACAGCGTGAAGTAGAGCATTAGGATTCAAAATGATCAGCATGACTTGCTCATAATATGACTTGGTGGAACCTCATTCAAATGCATAGCACTGTAGCTAGGACCTAGGGAAACAAAATTGGGTCTAATTCACTGAGCATCTGTTCAGCAGAATAGATGTTGGAAGTTGTAGTGGACCAAAATAGATCAAGTCAGCAGCATGTTACAAAAAAGGCAGATGTCTTTTTGGAACATAGAAAGTTTCACAATCTCCATTAAAAGCAGAAGGGCATAATTATTGGATACTGTTAAAGCATAAGCGGGAGCAAAGATGGAGTCTGGGGTTTCATACTTATGAACAACCTAGGTAAACTGGAAAGAACCTAGAAAGCGGCAACAGGGGATTTTTAGAGAACGTGGCCTATGAGAGAGGGTTGAGAGATTTAGGTTACTTCCGCTTGCAAAAAGAGAAGACAGAGAAGAAAAGAAATAGAAGAGGAATAGGGGAGAGCAGAAGTCATCGGTATTTTTATAAAGCAGTATTTTCATAATGAATTTTTTTTTGCTGGTAGGACAAGTAATAGTCTCAATTTCAGTAAAGAAGTAGTAAGTTATTTACATGGGGAGGCAGGGGAAGGAATCTCATCTGAGAATAGTTGAAAACAAATAGGTTATTGAAGGAAGCTGTATTCCTTTCACTGAGACTTTCTGAAAGAGAAAATGTACCAATTTCTTTGAGGGGTGATCCTGTCTGAGAAGAGTAATTTTAATGTCTCTTTCAGCCTTGTGCTCCTTTGATTCTATGCAAGATGATGAGCATTAGCTCATCAATAAATACTTTAAATTGCATGTAGATTATTAGCAATCATCAAAACTAAATCTGTACCGTATTTCTTTAAAGTAAGGTGGTACTTTCGTCCCATTGGTTCATTCCTTCAGAGTTCTGAAAAATGTTGACTAAATCAGCTTTTGTTCTTCTTTGCTGTTCTAAAATTACTCTAGTCCTTGACAGATGGCTCCTATGAAAACGTCTGGAATAGTTATGCTGACAGAATTTACATATACCTTGCCTAAGAATAATTTCATTTTTGTCTTCATTGGCAAGATGGAAATGATAGAGGGCTATGACATAATGAATGGATCAAGAAGCTATATAGCACACCTGTATCTCAACATCAAGTCTTCCAACTTCTCATTTAATGTTTGACTGATAACATTAGCCTTCCAGTAATCCTATTTCCCCATCTATTAAAAGGAAACACGCATTTGCCTTGATGGCACTGTCAGAAGCATGATCTAGCCATATCAAAGAACAATTGTTCTTAATTTACTAACTCAGCATATGCAATGCTGAACCAAATCAGCAGGTTCACTTTTTGAAAAATGTCCAGTGGGTGTGAGGGCGAGGCAAGCTTCACTAAATTGGTGGCAGAATTGATGATTCATTTATCATCGTTTGTTGTCATGTCACCAGTAGAGACCAGAGTTAGTTTTACCTCTCAACTGATAGATCAGAATAGTTTTTTTAATTTCATTGTAGGATGTTGTATTGAACAACTTTGACTCAGACCCATCGTTACTGTGGTACTCAAGAAGATAAGCAGAATTTCTGTTATAGACTTGCTAAACTGTAAAGTTGTCTCTCATCAGTTTAGCACTCTTACAATGTGAAGCAGTTAAAGCGGGAGTAAGAGTATAACCTTCATGTATAATGTGAAAATAGTTTGTGATTCAGGTTAGTATCCTTATTCTAATAAAGGGTGTAGGATGACAGTGAATTTGTTTTTTCACATTCCCTCTTCATTTTTTAAATTAAAGCTTGAATTTTTTGTGCTTGAGCATGTTGCAGCCTTTCCGTGTTTTCCCGGTTTAAGCTGTTCTCTCTGACCAAATAAAATGCTGTGCCGAGAGAAGATAAATGTACTGTAGCAAACCTTCCAGTAGGTGGCAACAACTGATTAGTTATAGCCTGTTTCTTGGGTCTTGACGTCAACTGATTCATTTATTGAGCCATCATTTGCTGCTCCGTAGTTAAAAACAAACTATTTTTTGTACTCAGATCTAGGATATGGCATGTTTGCCACTTAAGACTATTTTGACATTACTTTTTCAAGTTAGTGTATTTCTTCATAATAAATTTATAAACACAAAGTTAAGTATTTTAGATAATAATATACCTTAAATTTATATGACAGTGAAAATTGCTAGGTTTTTTTTAACGGGAAATTGACTGTGTGATTGAGCTCATCTTAAAATTTATTTGTTTCTGCATATATGTGTATTGTAAAAACTCTTTTTCAATAAAACATATCTATGTTTAAAGTAGGTTTCTTAAGCAATAAAGCTGTCTTAACCTTGAATAACTTGAGTATGGTTACAAACATGACATCTAAAACTTGTGAAGCCTATTTTGTGGTATATGTTCATGGTTATAAATGTCATCAAGAAACAGAATTGCAGCTAGGGAACAGCTAGCAGTTAGAAAATTATATGCATGTTAATTTGTAAATATGGAAATCTAGTTTGATGGATTCAGCACTTCTGGCTTGGTGGTAATTGATTAAGCTACACAAAGTTTGTAGGTCACTTCCCAATTTACCAGCATTACAAAATAAAATACGTTATGGTTAGACATCTTGTATATTTCTTGTTCTGCTTTAAGTCTGTAAAGGCTGCAGCTTCTTAGCAGTCTCTTGGCTTCAGCTAACTCAATTATTTTAATATATTTTTGAAACTAAAGTTTTTGGTAATCCATCTTTTCAGCCTCCAAAGTCTGGTTACCATTTGGTTGAGGACACCTTAATGTCGCTTCTAGGCTGTAGTTCTGTTTCAGTAGTGAATTGCTCACCCTTGATATATCCCAGATTGCACTGATGGACAACGTGCGGGGATGTGGAAATAGGGTATTGCATACAAGCTCCTTGTTGCCATTTTTTCTGTGACTAGCTGCTGACATGTTTTAGTATGGATATTAAAATGAGTTGGGTACACAATATGTGTGTGTCTGTTTTTTGTTTTGAAACCTAAAAAATCTCTAACTCTTTTTCAGCCAGAAAACCTTGCACAGAAGCTTCCAAACCTCGTGGAATTGTGAGTTTGTGTAGGAGTTCTAATATATTTTTATTATGCTGATCCATCTTATCTTAAAATAATTCTAGAATGTATTGCTTGCACATAACCTACCTCTTAAGTGTAAAGGTTTTTCCTGGAGGTCAAGAAAGGATTATTTTTTGTTGGTTTTTTTTTTTTGTTTTAAAGGAGGTATTTAGTCCCATGTAAATCTCTTTTATAATTTCTTGTTTATTGTACAACAAGAACTGTTATACAACAGCCTACGCTGCTAAGGGAAAAATGCTTATCCCCCAACTCCTGTGTAGACTGTTGCCACCCTGATAAAGCACTGGAACCTCCAAATGTAATGGTCAGATGGTTGTGACAGAGCCAGAGTAACAGGCTACTGCTTCCAGCCCATCCCTAGTTGCTCATTTCCAGCCCAGCTACCAGGGGTATTACGAGCTCAGTCTTGCTGATTGTAGTACTAAGTTTTTTTGGAACCAAGTCACAGATTGTCAAACAGTAGGGGTAGTAACTATTTAATGATGATTGCTGTAGGCAGAGTAGTTTATCTAATCTTGTCCAAAGAATGGATGTCACATGAACTGTATTATTTTGGCAGTTAAGCTGTAAGCCCCTGAGTCAATGTCTTCTTCCCTCCCATTTTCTTCTTGTAAGGTTATGATTTTCTTATATGGTAGGCTTGGCGGAGGGGGTGTTAAAAGGGACATCCTCTTTTCCCCTTATAACTCATTTGGCTTACTGTCAGTTGAGTAACTGATGGACCATTGATTCTGTTCATTTAATGGAAAGCTCTAAACAGGAGGAGGTATATATTGGAGTAGTCTAATGCATTCAGCTGTCTGATCTTGTCATCTTAATTTGGCCCTTGAAACCACACCTTTCTGGTACACGCGACCACAGTATAATTGAACTGTTTTGTAGGTCACTGCAGTCTCAGACTTGCTTAAGAGACAATCTTGTCTCGTCATGCCTGAGTCTTGAGAGTGTGTTTATGCTCTGAAGCAGTAAAATAAATATTTTTGTATTTGTTATACTTAGTATTTAATGATTTGCCATGGGGCATCAGGAAATGTCCATGTTATCTGATGGTGCCTTTAGGAAAACCTGTATAAATTACACCTTAAAATAATCTCTTACAAACACTGAATTGTAGGAGTCAAACCTAATTATTTGGGGTTCAGCAAGCTTAGTTGTACCGCCATTATCCCACATTGACCTGGTCTAGAGAGAACTGCAGTGGGCCTGTGGTTTGTGTAGCTCTAACAGTGCAAGTCAATTTTTGATCAGACAGTAAGAGATGTTTTGTTGACAGAGGAGAGACCACAAAATAAAGATTTATTTAAAGAATAATTTGTTACAGTAGCTTTAAACTTTGAAAGACAAACTTAACTGATTTTCATTTTCCTGAAAGTTATATCCTTGGCAATTTCACTATGTATTTTTAAAAACTTCACTGTTATCTGTGTTTCTTTGTATATCATGTCCCTCATGCTGGGATACTAGGTGTAGATCCTCATAATATACCTCTTTTTAGCTTGAGTGAAATAGTTCACAAGTATTTTCCAGGAGCTGCAGCTGAAATGAGTAGGAGAATTCTCATCCTGAGGTATATATAAGGACTACTACAAACATATCTGCTATCCTTATGTTTGTTACATTTTTAGTAAACTTTAAAGGTCTGCGATTTTTAAAGAAAAAGAGAAGGCTCAGATGCTCTATAGAGTTGAAATGTTCATATGTCTTTTTCCTTTTTCTGCCTCTATCTCACCGAAAAGACAGGCTCCTACTTTTGGAAATGCTGTTTGAATAGAGTGAAAAAAAAATGTTGTGCAAATAATTTCCATGTGTGCCTAAGCGATTGGACATTGAGTACTCAGTATACCTGTACAATTAGATATCAATATCTGAAAATTTTGTTAATCTAAGAACAGTTTTTATGTTACTAGTAGTACTGGAAGTGTTCCAGCAGAGGGTGCTGAAGATTCTTGGTGAGCGATCTGGCCACCCTCACCACCTACCTAAATGACCATGTGTAAGATTGGGTTTTTCTTTTGAAAAATGTACTCTAGGTTTGAAAAACCCACTTGCAGTGAGTGGATCATGTGCTTGTTTCTTCAGTCAGTAAAGGTGTAAGAGTTTATGTGCAGGGGAAAATGTTCGTAATTGTATAACTTGTGTGGGTTTGGGCTTTTTTCTTTTCTTGCCCAGCATTTAGTGCGGAATAACCTGATGATCAAATACGGTTCATTCTGGTTATTCTGTCTGCTTTCTTCTTTTTCCTTTTTGTTTCCTCTTACGACTCTCAAAACTAAAGCCCATTATTATTGTAACTGTGAATGTTTTGTTTTAAATAATTGTACGTCATTCTCTTTTATTTTTATGTTAATCATTTAATAGTCTAAGTGAAACTTAAGTACCTATCCATTGCCAGTTTATACAGTTTCCACAGCTTTTGTGGTCATAGAGAGGAGTGGCTTTGAGGGTGCTCTTTCAGTCTGAAACTGGATATTTTGCAAAGTGATTATGTAGCAGAAGTCCTTGAGGGTAACAGGTGGTGTCCTCTGCTTTTTTCTCCTCCCCCCAGGTACCTTCATTCAAATAACATAGTTGTTGTACCTGAAGGTAAGTAATCTACCAGCTCACAATAAGTGGCAGGAATCATAAAATATTCATTTTTCTTCTTTGAAGAGACCTATTTTTTCTTTTATTTTCCCATAAAACATTAAAGATTTTCATACAAAATATACCAGTGTAGCTCTTAGTTGATAATATCTTTGTTTATTCTATGTTAAATTCTTTTAATGAATTCTCAAATGCACCTAAATGCTGTTTGCTTCAGTTCTAATTGCAGAAAGCAAAAAGACTAAATGGCACTCATCTACAGAAACAAAAATCCGGAGTGTCTACTGCTTTCAGCCAGTTACCACACAGAATACTCTGCTGGTTTAGATCATGACAGATTTGAAACCTAAATTATCAAGAACTTGTACTAGTTTCTTTTCCTTGTCTTTGTAGAGTTATGTGTCTAACTTCAGGAAAGTACTTTAAACTCTTTCTGAATATATAAATTGAATAGACACAAAGCAAAGGAATGGAAAAAGTTATGCTGGGGCAGAATCGTCTGAGGAGAATCTAGAAATGGGAGTATTCTCTACATCACTATTTTTCCTCCCTGTCTTACTGCCAGCAGTACTGTTTGTTAGATAGTTTGTGGAAATGCTTATCTATGTCATTCAGTTGTGAGACCAGCTTTCATACATCAAAATCTGCTCAGATATAGGTGTTGGGTACTGTGGCTTTTTATCCTCTCATAGTCCTATTAAGATTTTAACATTACTGTTGGGTCACATTCATGTTTTAATCTGTTCTCTCACAAGCCATTGGCTCCCTCGTTAAACTGCAGTTTCTGGACCTAAGTGATAATGCCCTCGAAATTGTGTGTCCAGAGATTGGCCGCCTGAGATCCTTACGTCATCTTCGCTTGGCTAACAATCAGCTGAAATACTTACCTGCAGGTAAGTACAAATGCGTGAGGGATTACAGCAATGACAAATTCCGTTTGAACTTAATTGGCGTAGTGATCTGCTCTGGGTTTATTCATGTCTTACAGTTGAAGCATGGTATGACTTGCATTTAAAGACTAGGCAGGGATTGCCATTGTATGTATTGTACTAAATATACTCTGTAGTTAGAAAAAAGCCACACTGTATGTACTTAAAGTCCTGAAAAATGCTTCTGAAGTGGGGAAAAAAATGCATTAACAATCTTTGCCATTGTATCAAGAAAACATTGAACTTCCTTGAGAAGACAGAAAATTCCAATGCTAACTGTCATTATGATAAAATGATGTTTCTTCCAATTTTCCTTTCGGATTCCAGTCCTTCCTTTCTTTACGCCCAACAGCCCCATTCATGTATTTTCTAAAAAGACAGATGTCTAGTAGGTTTGCCTATGGCAGTTCCACCTCACTATGACAGTAAATAACAAATGTTTGTCCTGCTAGTTTATAATAAAAAAACAAAATTTATTCAAAGTAAATGTGACACAAAGTCAGAAAAAGTTGGCTGTAGGCAGATTTTGAACGATTTTTTTTGCCTTCTAAATACTTTGACAAGCAGACATAACTGATTATTCTTCTTCCATTGCCCTTATATTTTTCCAGAGAAGATGATGGTGATCTTTAAATTTTTTTTTTAATCTTTCTATGGCATATTTGCGTCTTCGGATCTGCAGAGGTGATAAAAATCTAAGGCCAGCATTTAAAAAAACTGGTCTAACTTAATCTAACAAGATTAGCTTTTGGCTCTAATTTTAACTAACTTCTCAGTGTGACCTTCATGTGTTTGTCAGTTCACATTGCTTATTATCAAGAAATATATTGCAATTTCTCCTTGAAGTTTTGGGTGCAGAAATCTAGCTGTCCTTTCCTTGTACTTTTCTAGGCATAATAAGCTTAATAAGAATAAGTCAAAGGAAGCTTATGATTAGAAAGAAAAAAATGTATACGTCTATGTAAATGCTCTGGAATGAAATTACATAAACCTGTTAAACATTATGACCCAAGGCCACTAAAATTTCCATCAATTTTCAGATGTCCTACATTCAAAAGAAAGGAGTGACTTGAGTGTGCTTTATGTTCCTCAAAGATAATTTACCTTATGGTGCTGTACCATGAAAGAAAGACTTGTTCAAAGAAAAAGTGACACATTTTCTGCAAAACTTCACACATTAACTTAAAAAGGTTCCAAAAAAGACTTTCAAAAGAATAATTTACATTACTGAAGAGCTGATTTTGAGTCTACCACATTTGATTAGGAATTGGTATCAGCTGCATAGGCATGCTGCATTTAATTTCTCCTGAAGTTTACAAAATTTGGTACTGAGCATTGTCCCTAAGTGTGTTTAGTTTTGTGTGCATGAAAATTTTGCATGCTTAGAATAATACTACTGTTGCCTACTTTTGAATTGGAGAATCCAGTGGTGTCTGGTCTTTCTGGTTTTGCTGGTAGTGTACCATCAGTTTATACATATGCCATTACTGCTATCAATACTAATCCTGTCTGTTCAGATGCTGTCGCTATCAACATGACTGGGTGTCATACAACTTGAGTATTATCAGTCTGAGCAAGATTAATCTTTCACTTACACTGGAGAGTTTGCCCAATGGAGAGTTAATCTACTGCATTGAGTGTTTCCTAAACAACATTTCCTGAAGAGGGCTTCCAAGCATATTTTCACAGTTTTTCTTTGTAAAATTGCAAAGATTTCAAAGATGACTTTGTAACAAAATCTCTGAGTTTGAAAATAACATTTATGTTCAACAACTGAAAAAATAGAATAAAACAGTAAGTTTTGATGAATTGTTTTATAATTATAACTTATAATAAATTTAGAAATATAATTTATAATCCTTAATTATATTGGTAGCATGAATCTTCATAATGGTGTTAAATAGCGTTCTGTCAGGAAAGTTAGCAAAGTTAATAAAATGAACTAGGATGAGATATTATTTCAGTATTTCAGTACATCATTTTACTGCGTGTTAACTGCTTTCTTTACAGCAGATACTGCATTGCAATGCATTGTTAGGGATTTTTAAGACAGCTCTTTATTGCTCTTAATTTATAATAAGTAACCATTTAAGATATAATTTAGCTTCTACTAGTGCAGCTTGTGCAGACCTTAAAGATCTGCATTTAAAAAATAGCTTTCAGGTATAGGTGATAGTAATTTATGGAAGTAACTTTTCAAAACTTGTGACCATCATTTTCTTCCAGACTTAGTCCCGCATATATCACACAAATGGCAGCGAACTGTTTATCACAGCAGAGGATCCAGTTAAGAAAGGTGGATCAGTATTCACCTTGTGTAACCAGACAGGCCAACTTGCAGCGGAATGATGTCATCACATAAAAAGCTTACTTTTATGAGTAAGCTCATACTCATAAACAAGAGTTCTTGCCCTGTCATTCCTCTTGTCTCTCCCTTCCTAGTGTCTGGTGTTACAAGTACCATCAGTTTTTGTTGAAACTACATGGATATCTAGGAGGATACTCTTAGTAATATCCTTAATCAATTGCTAAAAAAATCTGCAGAACCGTTGGATGGTAAACATTTGCCATTAAGTGTCTGAACACCCACACTTTTCTATTGCATTTTATATTTTAAGAATGATTCTCTATTGTGTCTTCCTTCATTGTGGTTAAGAACTGAAAGAAACAATGCAATTCATAGCATATGTTGATTCATTATCCTTTTTTAATGTTTTTGTTCCACAATTGTGCTCTTAACATTCATTTTCAGTGTTTAAGATTTGTCTTATAGAGATCTAGCATAACTCTAACTTTAAAACAATTGAAATAGTATGCATAATGAAGCCCTATAAAGATTTATGTCTTCAGTCTGATTATAGACATTCTTCAGACTCTAATAAACATTGAGCCTATGCTGCGGTTTATCTTCAATGTGATGGGCAGGATCTTAGTCTCTAAGTACCTGTTTTCATAAAGCTTGTGAGAATTTAGTAATGAAGACCTCTCTTCTCACGTTTGGTCATGATTATTCAGCTAGTTTTAAAAAGTCACTTTAAGAGAGGAGGTGGGGGAGAATGATGAAAATACATGCAGACAGCATGAATACATAAGCCTTAGTTTCCTGAAGAGCTCAGGCAATACAGGACTGATGAGGGGGAAAAAGGGCATTAGGTGAAGCATGGAAACTGTGTTCCTTGGACATTAGAAAGCACTTCCTATGCAGTGGCACTTTTGTAGTGTAAATGATAATCCTACCTTTGTGCTTAGCAAACACTACCAAATCAGCGTCACCCATGGATAAGATCATGTACTTTGGCCTCAAGGCACTTTGTTTAATTGTGCACTACTACTGAAACAATGGGGCTTCGATCACACATCATTAAATTGTTGTGAGAATTGTTGAAAGATGACTAAGCTAAACTTGATGAGAAGCAAGGGGAATAATTTGTCCAGAATAAGCATGCCGAAATTGAAGTATAATATAAAATGGCTGGAAGAAAATGCTTTGTGAAATTCTCTTGAAGTCATATTTTGAGTATACTTTGGATAAGGTTAATAAGTGGACCAGCTTCTGCCTAATGCAGAGTTATCGGTATCTGGATTCTGTGGTAATCAGAATCACTAACTGAGAGACTCTGTCTTCGAGAGGAGAGCTGATTGAGAGTTGCAGATAAGTAAGAAGAGGAGATTTAATATTATAAAGTTTTGTTGAGCGCTTTTTTCATTGAAATGCGCGGCATTTTTGTTCTGCAAACTGTAAATCTTGTAGCTTCTGTCTTTAACAAGTTCTTGATTCTTTTATTTGGTTCTCGTACATGTAATTCTTGAACATGAAGTAAAGTTTTGTGAAGTTTTCTACTATTTAACTGTAGCACTTAAATAATCGAAATTCTTGAGGGCCATTTGGAAATATGTAATGCCAGAGATAAGTCTTAGAGCTGCAGCATAAACAAAAGATGGTTATTTCATATTATTACATTAGTTTGTATTACATATTTGTATTACAAATATTACATATAAGCTTGACTTAGTTGACGTTACGTTTTTATAGTAGCTTAACTTTATTTTTTTTAGATTTCTCTTTATTCAGAGAATTGATGTCTCATTTTAATTTAGAATTGTAGTTAGTCCTATATGAATGTGCTGTCAGAAGTAAATTTTCTGAATCTTCTCACTTATGAATAATTAGAAAGTTCCCGTTTGTTTCTGATGTTTATAATGCATATGATATTTCAACTCCTTTCATTCTTGAGAAATTGTATTTAGTTTCTCTTTGTGTGACAATTATTGCATCATTTGCCAAAAAAAAAAAAAACCCAGTGAGATGTACTAGAAAAATTATTTTTCAGGGGTCCCAAAGCCAAGGTTATCTCTCAGTTTTGCTGCGTTGCCATTTAGATTTGATTTGACTTTAGCCTTGGAAACTTTTTATGTGAAGTGATGGCTCTTCAGGATTACATTTTGGTCTTGTAGTTAGTGAATGCACGTTTGGACAACAGATGACTTAAAAGAGGGTGGGTTTTACTCAAAGTTTGACTTAAGTTTCATATTTGACAAGGATTGGATTTTTTTATTGTGCATTACTTGAGAAATACTTCTACTTGGAAATGGCAAGTTGTAGCATCTTGTTCTAAGATTTAATTAAAAATGAGGTTATGTTTACTCAGCACATGTTGGAGTTTAATTATAGATTTACTAAAATGAAAAGCTTAATGTTTTGCCAAGTCAAGAGCAAAAGCTAAGTAATTAAACGAAGAACAGGGTATGGTTTATGATCCCAGCCCATCTTTTGGCAAAGTTCCCTTCAAGAAGGGAAAAAAATAGATATCAGCAGTTGTCTTTACATGGGCTAGACTGTTTCCCTTCATGTTTGTTGTCGGGGAACTTTAAAAACCAAGAGCTGAGCGCATTGATAGGGCAAAAAACATGCGGTCAAATAATACCAAACTTCATGTAAACTGTGCGATGCTGTTTCTTTAATC